TATAAAGTTTATATTTTAATATTTATATAAGAAAACTAATATTTATATAACTTTTATATTTTAATATATAAATTTATCCCTGACAACAAAATTATTACTTAGATACTAAAATAAATAACGAGTAGTCCATACCGTTGAGAACGTGCTACTCGCTATTTCGAGTTTATTTATTCTTTTGCGCTATATATAAAGTGTATATTTATTTAAATAAACATCAACGATACTCTATCTTTCTTTGATTGAAGTGAAAAAAAACATCAATTCAGAAATAACCTTTTACAGTTTATTAATTTTAAATTATACAAAAACTTAAGTGTATAAATGTATTAATTACATTTAAAAATGAAGATTATGTATTCAATTAATATTTTGTTGAAGTTATTTAGAAAAAAAGTTTTAAAAATTATACCTTTTCACATATTTTAGCTAAAACAAAAATAAAAGTAAAATGATAATTATTTCTGATTACTAACAAAGCTACACCAATCAAGTTTATGCTTGTATTCTTTCATAAATTTTTCGGATAATTTTTGATATTTTGAAATAATATCCCAATTCATATTGTTTTCAAGTTCTTTAATAATCTCTTCTTGCAACTGTTGATATTTACAAACAAGTTTCATATTGAGTAAATGTTTAAAAGTATATATGATGCTTTGACTTATATTTTGATATTGAGAAAACAAGATTTCAGTTTAGACAATTGTTCAGTCAAAAAGTTTTTTGTGAACTGTTGATATCAGCAAACATCATCCCAGTTAATTCGATGAACATACTTTTGTAAAAGATCGGTGGTATAACGTCTGTTTTTTCACATTTTATTCCAATTTAATTTATGTTGGAAATCGTTAATAAATTCATTACTAAAATTTTTTCAAAAGTAATATGCTCGTCAACCCTATCTTGAAGTCATCTTATTACTTCTTCCGTCAAATTTAATGTACAGAATTGTTTTCAATTAAAATGTGAATTTAGTTCGTGAGAAAGCAGAGCTATGTTTTTGGAATCCATATTTTTATGAAATAATGGACTTATTTTGTCTTCTTCTTCTGATATTAATATGAAGAATAATTAGTTTTATTGATTGTCATAATTTTTTATGACGAAATCGATTAGATTTATTGTTTTTCTGCGAAAAACTCGTTTTTTAGGTCAACGAACTTAATTTAGGTTAATGAACTAAAATGTCTTAGGATTTTTGAACTTCATTAAAAGTATTAATTTACATCTGAAATTGGGTTATTCAATGTTTTAATTTGGTAATTCCAATTTGAAAAAAAAGAAAAATTTTACTTGGTTTTTAAATACAGTAGAACCCCTCTAATCTGTCACCTTTGGGACTGGGGGTATGGTCGGAACGCAAAAATGGTCGGATTATCGGAAAAAAGTAAAATAAACAATCTTCCTCTTTGTCTAGTCTTTGTAGCACTGCTAATTTTTCATTTAATTAAAGAGTACCGTGTTTACGTATCACTCCTGACATGTTGGAAACACACACAAAACTGTACATGTACACATAGCGTAAAACGTATACTGTAACAAACACAGAAAAACGCTACGGGCGGTGAGACACCGACGAGTCGGGACAAGATTCTCGACTCTGACCACGGTCAGATTAACCGGAGTGACGGACTAGCCGAGGGCAGACTAGAGAGGTTCTACTGTAATCGTAAAATATGACCACAGTCTAATAAATACAATTGTTTAACTTCATTTTAATTCATTTACTTTTAAAATGCTTGTGTATCTTAGCTGAAGATAGAAAATATAATAATACATTCACTTGTTTTGAAACATACTTTAATTCATAAATGATCAGTTTTAATAATTTATTTATTTACTTATATATTTGCGTTTTAACATTCGTTTTGAAGGTTCAGGTGAAACAATATATATATATATATTTTTTAATACTGGCAATATCAGACTAAAATCAGAGGACATGGAGTGGTTGACTGCCGGTGTAGTCGGAATAGTTCGCTTGCAAACAAAGTTCGTGTCACACGTCGTGTTTGTCACAAAGTAAGATGAGCTGATGAACGATGTAAAAAGTTTTTACCTCATTGAAAAGTTTTACCTGCACTGTAGTGTGCCAATGGGCCAATGGCATGAAGGTTGAGAAAAGTAAAACCATTCTCTGGTGTAATATACAGTGTACCTAGTACATCTGTGTACCTAGTACCAATCTGCGTTATTTCCTTACATTCTGTTGTCCTATCCTAAAATCATCTAGTTATAGGGAAAAACAGAATGGTTTTAGTCAGAAAATTTTCCAGCAAAACTTGTCATGCGATTAGTAATCGCAGCAGATCACAGGGCAGTTTTACCGTACATTTACCCTGAATATATGACCACCTAAACATTACCCTTAGAGGTAGAAATTACTTTAAGAGAGAGTAATTACCCTAAAAACGACACAATTGTTTCGCATATTCATTTTCAACACGATTTCTTCCATAATTCTTATCGGAAACCAATGTGAATTTTTTCATAATCGCAATGTATATTATTTTTCACAGTTACAACTTATTTTCTGTCAACTTATACACTTATAAAACGAATATACTTTGACAAAATTATAAAAAATAACATAGAAGGTATGAAACGTGCAATAATCCACCTTTGATATCTCCTACTTTATTTTCTTATAAAATTCTTAATATTAATTTATTGTAGGAAGTGAAATAAATCAAGATAAATGCACTTCTTCGAGAATTATAATTGGAATTTGGCTACTGGTGACAACTGTACTTATATCAGCATACAGTGGTGTCCTCTTTTCCTACATGACTTATCCCGCTTATGAAAAAGTACCGAGAACAATTGAAGAACTTTCAAATGCAGTCAAAA